AAGCTTACCTCTTGCGTGTCGCGCAAACAGAGGATGGCGTCGCAAATAAGCAGGGGCGATTGCTGAGACAAGAACTTTAATCGCTTGACGTTTCGGATTCTGTCGCGGGTCCATCATCAGAGACGACAGTACCTATCGCATCTGCTTCTTCTCAGCTACTTCTTGGGACCCACGTTTTTGCTTTTAGAGGATTATACGAAGGGGGATCAGTTCCCCGGACGTCATCGTTGTAAAGTGAACCCTTCGCATCTTAACTGTCGTCCCGACAAGACCTTTTCGTGAAACCTGGATTTTATTTAGTCTTCATTAACAATTCTATGAGGTTAGCTTGGTCAAAGTGATTTCCGAAATAGACTTTGAAGGAGGGTGGTATTAATTAATAGGCTATAAATCGCTAATGACTCGAGACGCACTAATGGAAACTCAATGCGATATAGCGAAGTAGGGATTCAGTTGACCCAATTGTGAAAAATTTGCGGCCTCAGTGGCATTCCAACCCACACAGCAGGGCAGGCTTTTGCGCAGCCAACGCTTTAGCATTGAGCTAGAAGGCTCACCGTGCGCCGTGAACTGAATCACACTTGGAGCGATTTTACCCACCCAACTTACTGTTTGTATGGAATTCAGCATTAAGGAACAGCAAGCTGGTTGCCTGGACAGGATGTCCTAAGCAATCATCTAGAATCGACCAGAATGACTACTAGACTCACTTAATTGTTAGGGGGTTTGGCAGATTTGCTTAAGGCACGGCGAGCCTTGTAGCTCAATGGTAGAGCGTTGGCTGCGCGAAAGCCTTCCCTGCTGTGTGGGTTCGACTCCCACTGAGGCCGCGAATTTTTCACAATTGGGTCAACTAACTGAAGCAAATCTGTCAAACCCCCCAACGAAATAATGTTCGATGACGTGCCTATTCAGATCCAAAAAGTTCGGAAATCCATTCCTACACCAAGCCACTCGATAAAAACCAGTGCTCCGCAAACTGCACCTCAAACAAGTTTTGGCCGGCCAAAGAGCTACTGCTTATTTTGGCTCTTCAAAGGCTTGCAAACGCGATAAGAATAAACTCAGAGCCTTGACCGGACCCATGAAAGAAGAGATTCATTTCTGAGTGCAAAGCATACTTCCCACCTGGAGGATATCCCTATACGTCCTCGGCAATTTATTGTGCAGACCTACTAGGTACACCTTTCTTCGTATCACGGAACGACAGTTAGTCTGGGGGAGCTGACCATAATTGTTTTGTGTTAAACATCAGGGTTTACCCCTTCCCCCACTTTTATCGTTATATTAACTTTGTCCCCAAAGAACAGCAAATGTAGCTCAAAAACAGGACCAACTGTGGGGGGAGCGGGGTTTACCTGAAGAAGAGAGTCCTCGATTCCGATTTTCAATTTGCCAACGAAGGAGAAAGTTGACGACGGGCACGTGACCCTTTAACAAGAAAACACGGCAGGCTATTCAGACAACGCATTATGAGTAAGCGTTTAACAAAAGTGATCAAACTGTCAATAAATTCCAGCGAAAATGGCAAAATAAAGGTCTGTCTTGCTCACTGTCCATAGGTGACACTGCCAGCAGGGTAAGAGTGCAGTCGGGCGGCAAGGACCAGAAATTGGTAAAGTCAGAAATAGGTGAAGTCTGTTTTCTGAGGAAAAGGGGCTGACCGCGGATATAAAATCTTCCAAGGAAGACCAAAAAGCACAATAATTTTCAATCCAATCGGAAAATTAACGCATTCACTACTTATGCAGAACGCACGATATGCTCGTCAGGCTCCTGAGAAAGGATGCCAGAGAAAGAGATGATAACAATATGATAACTGTCCACTCAGGCACTTCCAAAGTAACACAGTGTCTCACAAGCAGCGAACATGGTTCTGTCTAAAACGCAACGTCGGCTCAAGCATACAGAACTTGAGACAGCTGGTCGCTGAAAGGAAGCAAAACCTTGGTCAGTTCGGAATAATTATTCAGTTATTCGCCAGCGTAAGCATCTGCTAATGGCCTATCAGGCATGTAGAGCAGGCTTTTCTCGGGGCAAAATAGAACAAATGCATTTCACAAAGAGCCGCTTTGAAGCATTGCATTCGTACAAGGCCTGTATTATAGTGGATTAGATTTGTAACCACCATACCGAAATGGGGGCATATTTTTGATTTAAATACTTTTCATCCGGAAAGAGAAAAGACACCTTGCTCAGTGCTGCTGAAGCCAAGGCATTCTAACCACTGTGTCAGCTGACTCACCGGGAAGAGTATGCTCGCGTTAATACAAAAAACAACGCAGGACGGTCCAGTCATCAGAATTTGGAGGAGACGAACAATTTTCCAAATGTTATTTTTGCCTTACCCATAAAAAACGTCGCTTGTCGTAATTTACTTACAAACGCCCCCAAATAACCTAACCTGGTCAACAACAGGGAGACCTAGTGCAGGTACGCCATTCCATTTAAGCATAGATAAATGCTCTACTAATTCATATTAGTAGATGTTTACTGTGCATAAACATTTTACTTAAGGTGAGTTTGGGCTTCACGAAGGGTGACAGCGGAATCTGTTCGGAATAAGTACCTGGGCAGCAGAATGATGGACTGCGTTCCACTGGTAGACAGAATCGCGAACCGAGGGATCGGCGTTTGACAGAGGATGAGTGACGAGCAGACGACAGGTCTCTAAGTGGCCGGCATAGGCAGCATAATGCAGGGGGGTTCTGCCCAGTGGATCTGTTATCTGACCACAGGGGTTTCTGTTGGTTAGACCGGGTTGGGCGGATGCAGCGGATGACGAGGGGGGAGCTGAGGAGCCGGAGCAGGCCTGTAGGAGAAACTAGAGGGCGCAAGGCATGATTAGGAGGTAGAATCGTGAGAATTAGTATGGAACATAGAAGGGAAGGAAACGGCGTGCATTTACCTCTACAGCCGCAGTCTGTCCACGAAATGCGGACAGAAAAAGGGGCGAAAGGAAGAAATGAGAGCCAGTGAGGTCAGGAGTATTGCGTAGTGCGGTCAAAGGGGTGTTGCAGGGCGCAAGAACAAACGCGTCATCCTCTTTCTGTAGAAGAGACATACTAGCCGTCTCCAGAACCAGTCGGCAGGCCTCCTGTTCAGAGATGCCCTCGAAGAGACAGCGGAGGGCATTTGTGTTTCCCATCGCAGAGGCCAAGTGCAGAGGATAGTATAAGGGCTACAAATGAGGATAAAGATTTTCGAATCGAAGGTCAGTCAAAAATCAAAGGAAAGGAAAATAAGGAAAGTAAGCAATGTGGTAAATTAGGAAACGGGCAGGTCAGTAAGGCAATGCTGTTTTACTTCAGATTCGGTATCAAAGTGAAAGCTGAAATCTAAGGCAGCAAGCATATTGATACAAGCGATGATAGAAATCGTAGTCGTAGTAATAGAAGCAGTAGTTGTAGTGTTATTAATAGTAGCAGTGGTAATAAGAATAGTAGTAGTAGTGGTGATAACAGTGGTAGTAGTAGCAACAGTGGCAGTAGTAAAAGTAGTACTAAGAATAGTAATATTAGTGGTAGTAGTAGTAGTAGTAGTAGTAGTAGTAGTAGTAGTAGTAGTGGCGATAGCATTAGCAGTAGTAAGAGTAGTATGATCAGTATTAGTGGTGGCAGTATTAGTAGAAGTATTCGCAGTATTAGAAGCAGTATTAGTAATAGTAGTAGCGAAAGTATTAGTAGTGGTCGTAGTAGTAGTAGTAATAGTGGCAGTGGTCGAACTAGTAGTAGTGGCATTTATAGTAGTAAGAGTAGTAATACTAGTAGTAGTAACTGTAGCATCATAAGACGTATTAGCAGTAGTAGAAGCGATAGTAGTAGTAGTAGCAGTAGTAGTTGTTGTTGTTGTCGTAATAGCCGTGGTAGTAAGAGTAGTACTATTAGTGTCAGTAGTAGAAGTAGTAGTAGTGGTAGTAGTAGTAGTAGTAGTAGTAGTCGTCGTGGTAGTAAGAGTAGTAGTGTTAGTGTTTGTAGTAGTGGTGGTTATAGTAGTATTAGCAATAGTGGTGGTGGCAGCATTAGGAGTTTACAGAAGTAAGAAGAGAAAACAGAATAATACTAAATACAATGTATCCATTCAGAGGAACGCACAGTTGCAAGCGCAACCTCGCATCCAGACAAGGAGGTTCTGAGCACAGCGTCGAAGGAGGCGGAGACGTCTGTCATCTGTCGACTCTTCAGCGTCGAGCCC